AGCCTTGAGCTGAAGAGCTGAGGGACAGCGCCCAGGCCCAGAGTTCAGGCCCCACTACCGGACCCAAAAAAAAAAAAAAGAAAAAGAAAAATTTTCTTAAGAAAGCAATAACATAAAAAATCCAATAAACTAGACTTTATCAAAATTTAAAACTTATACTCACTAAAATAACTAAACAAGCTATAGTTTGGGAAGGATTTGGAATTATATGGGTCATAGATATTAGATTATAGTCTGTCATCTTTAATGACACAAAATGTATATCCTAGACAAAGAGCTTGTAGATAGATGAAGAAATCTTCTCTGTATATGTTTATATGAGTATGTATGTTTGTACATATTATATATAATCTATGTTACATATATGAAAATATGTAAAATATATTTGATAACTATATGTTAATTCTAACCTCCCAAGTATGGGAATTACAGACATGCCTAGCCTCTGCTCAGATAGGTAAGATAGATAGGCAGATAATTTTTTTTTCAGTACTGAGGACTGAACCTAAAGTCTCCACCTGAGCTAAATCTCTGGCCCTTTTATCTTTTTTTATTTTTTCTTCAAGGCTCAGAGTGGCCTAGAAAGACTACTGGAAGAATAAAGTCTATAATAATAATAGATAATAATAGATAACCAGACTTTGGGTGTTTTCATTTTCATCTTTGTGCTTTTGCATGTTTTCTAATTTTTTTCAATATTTAATATTTAGTAAAGCAGACAAAGTACAGTGAGTCACACCTATAATCCTGTATACTCAGGAAGCTGAGATTAGGAGGATCATAATCAAGGGCAGACCATGCAAAAAGTTCAGAGATTCTCCTATTAAAACGAATTTTAAAACGCTGGGTGAATGCCAGGGTGCTGGTGGTTCACATTTGTAATCTTAGCTACTCAGGAGGCTAAGACCTAGGATTGTGGTTCAAAATCAGTCAAGGCAGGAAAATCGGAGATGCTTATCGCCAATTAACCACCACCAAAAAAAAAAAAAAAGTCAGAAGTGGAGTTGTGGCTGAAGGGTAAGAAGCTAGCCTTGAGCAAAAGCAGTTCATGGACAACTCAAGCTCAGTCCTGAGCTCAGCCCTTCAAGCCTCAGAACTGACCGGGGGGGGGGGGGGCGCTGAATGCCTGTCATCCAGCTATGCCAGGAAGCAAAAATAGGAGAATCTTGGTTCTGGCCAGCCTGGATAAAAAGTTAGGAAGACCTCATCTCAACCAACAAGATGGGCATAGTACCACAAACCTGTGGTCCTTACTACTTAAAAGAATGTTGTAGGAAGACCATGGTCTAAAGCAAGACTATTAACTCAAAAATAACTAAAGCAGCTGGGTACCAGTGGCTCATGCCTGTAATCCTAGCTACTTAGGAGGCTGAGATGTGAAGATCTTGGCTCAAAGCCACCTGGACAGGAATGTCTATGAGATTCTTATCTCCAATTAACCACCAGAAAATTAGAAGTGGTACTGTGACTCAAATGGTAGAGTGCTCTCACCTTGACCTGAAATGCTGAGGAACAGCGCCCAGGCCCAGAGTTCAAGCCCTACAACCAAAAAAACAAAACAAAACAAAAAACCTAAAGCAAAAAAGGCTCGAAGTATTACTCAAGAAGTAGCAAGACCCCTCTGTACAATATTTTCACAATTAAAAAAAAAAGAAGTAGCAAGAGATCCTAAGTTCAAACCCCAGTAATGAACACACGCACACACACATATGCACACTCAAAGACTGCCATGACTTATTAAAATGTAATAATTTTTAAGTGTCTATTTAAAATAGTTTAGCTATAAGGAAATTAAATATGTACATATTACAATGAAGAGATCAGCTCCTGATTATACAAGCAATAAAAAATACTAATTATAATGCACTTAAGTTTGATTCTAGTAAATTTGAAATACTATACAGAGGGGAAAAAATTAAAATGAAGCAACATAATAAGAAAAAAAGCATACACACAGTTGTATAGAGACAAACTTATATAGAAAAAAGTTTCATCTTTAGGAAGCTGATAAAAGTCTATCAAGGTAATACTGTCTTCAATGCTGATCCATTTGTGTCCAACAAAGGTTAAGAACAGAGTTTATATAGTGAAGCACTGAGGAAAGTAGTCCACAACATTAGTTACATATATGTACCTTAATATAAATATTATTGTCATCTAATGACCAGTTAGTAGAAAAACCCAAGTAGTTTTCAATTTTCTAAAGGGTGTGGGATGGTTTTATATACACATTGCTGGCAGTCATTGAGAAAGGAATCTGTCCCAATACAAAACTCGATAGCTTCTGATCTATCATCCCAGTATTGAGTAATATATCACTATCACAAAGGATAATTCAAATATATATAAATATAATGTGTATAATTTATATATAATTCAATTATATAATTATATATAATACATATTATATGTATAATTTAAAATATATATTAGAGCTAAAATCTGAAAAAAAAAATGCCAAAATGTCTCTCTGTGGAGAGAACAGTTAACTAATACAATGGAATACACTGCCACTAGAAATGAAAAAATGTGAGGGCTGCAAAACATTTTGAAAATAACTACTTTATAACAAGCACTGGTTAGCCGGGCGCTGGTGGCTCATACCCGTAATCCTAGCTACTCAGGAGTCTGAGATCTGAGGATCACAGTTCAAAGCCAGCCCAAGCAGGAAAGTTGTGAGACTTTTATCTCTAATAAACCACCAGAAAACAGGACGTGGCACTGTGGCACAAGTGGTAGAGCCCTAACCTTGAGCTGAAGAGCTGAGGGAAAGCACCCAGGTCCAGAGTTCAAGTCCCACGACTAACAAAAAACAAACAAACAAACAAAAACAAGCACTGGTAATTTTAAAACAAAGTCAAATCATTACAACGGTAGAGGTGGGGTACAATATAAGGTATGTTTCCATAAATAAATTAGATGATGTATGTAAATAGATGGTGCTGTAGGAAGTTTTAATATAGCACACAATTGTTGGTAGTTATATGTTTCAATTCACCTAAACAACCAAATAAAGTAAGCACAAAGGTAGACACAGGAAACTGGAATCTGTATTCCACCTGTATATTATACAACTCTAGGTATCTAACTTTAGTAATTGTCCATTTCTTGTGATGCTTTAAAGATGATACCTTAAGCCGAGCACTGGTAGCTCATACATGTAATCTTAGCTACTTAGAGGCTGACATCTAAGGATACTGGTTCAAAGCCAGCCCAGGTAGGAACATCTGTGAGACTCTTATCTCCAATTAACCAGCAGAAAACTGGAAGTGGTGCTGTGGTTCAAGTGGTAGAGCATTAGCATTGAACTGAAGAGCTCAGGGACATCACCCAGGCCCACGGTTCAAGCCCCATAACCAACACACACACACATACACGCACACACACAAAGATGATACCTTAAAACAAAGTACAAATTATAAATCACTACAAAAAGTTGAATTAGGGCTGGGAAGGTGGCTCAGTGGTAGAGCGCTTGCCTTGCATGCCTGAGGCCCTGAGTTCGATTCCTCAGCACCACATAAGCAAAAAGAAAAAAGCCAGAAGTGGCACTGTGGCTCAAGTGGTAGAGTGCTAGCCTTGAGCTGAAGAGCTGAGGGACAGCGCCCAGGACCAGAGTTGAGGCCCCATGACTGGACCCAAAAAAAAAAAAATGAAAAAGCTGAGAGCCAGTGGCTCACGCCTGTATTCCTAGCTACTCAGGAGGCTGAGATTTGGGCATCATGGTTCAATGCCAGCCCAGGTAGGTAAAGCCATGAGACTCATCTCCAATTAGCCAGCAAAAAAGCCAGAAGTGGAGCTGTGGCTCAAAGTGGTAGAGCACAAAAGTTCAGGGTCAGCGCGTTCAAGGCCCTCCCCCACAACCACACACACACAAAATCATATTAAATTCCTAGCCCTTCTTCTAAGGAGCAGGCAAGAGTCCTAAACCCAGGGTGAACTGAAACTGTCAGAAACATGCACGCATGAGGACGGGACCACACAGTAGAGGGCACGGTTCTCACTGGGATGACCTCCATCTCTCTTGAAAGGCCTACAAACGTTAAACTACTTTATCTACAACTCACCTTCCATGCCCCCTACACTATGCAACTGGACTACAGCCAAGTCTCTTTCACATTCACTCCTGTATCCAACCTTCTAAATTACCAGCACCAGCCCACCTCTGTCCCTGACAATATTGAAACTTCATTCACTCTTCAAGATCTAGCTGAAGTCTCTAATTCTGACTTCTCCAAATGTTCCTCTCCACGTTATCAAAACTCTTAGACTGAGCCCACCATAAACCTAGGCTTCTCACAACTATGCATTTGCTTATCCAATCTGGTCATGAATGTCACCTGATCAAGTCTTAAACCTCTCAC